ATATAGAGTTGGCTTGATTGTTGGTTTTTTTTGAATTAAACAGGTGCTTATATTTATTGATGTAGTTGTATTGGCACTTACCCATAATCAGTTAAATATGAAAAATTCATTCTGTGCTATACAACATGAAAAGCTGTAGTCCCTCCAGGTGTTTCTCTTGGAAAGCTGGCTGTAAGATTTTTGGCACTATTGTAGCCATTTGTTCCTAAGAGGTATTGTGTAATTGATTTTTATAATAGAATGCATTACTTTGTGTTTTTTGGGAAGCGGGAGGTTTCAAACAAATCTGTATTAAAAAAATCTTGATGGGAGCTTGAGGTTTTGAATCCATAATTCTTTCTTTTCCCCCACCGCATGATTTCCTGTGTTTGCTTCTTTCTCTTTACAGTACCAGGCAATTTGCTGCCTGTCACAAATCCTGGGATTGTGGAAGTTTCTGAATGAATAGATACTGCTGTGCTTACATAAGACATTAGGAAACAATATCTGGAGAGTTACAGGAAAGGTTCATGCCCTGCAAATTCTTCATAGTGATACAGAATGTGTAAGATGAAAAGCAGTGAGCTAGACCTGTTAGATGTCCTGGGAGCATCAGGGGTCAGCTGGTGAATAACTCCTCACCTCCACAGTTGTTTCTTGACTGCTGGTTGTTCTTGTCTCCTCTAGTTCCTCATGACTTTGTTACAGATTGGGTTAGTTTACTGGCAATGCTTGAATCTCAGACATGAGACCCAAGTCTGCACGGAAAATACAACATTCTCTGTTTCCTTCTTGATTTGCTTCCCACGTCAGAGTATTTTGAACAGGCAGAATTTATTGGATATGAGTGCAGCAGGATATCAGCCTCACAGAAGCTGTGTTGTGATTTTTTGTAAAAACCCAATTAAAGGTGCTTGTCTTACCCCTGTCAAAGTGTGTGCTCTGAGTATAAGAGAGAGTATAGGGCATAATTGTTTGAAGGAATTAGTTGCATTACTACCAGATTGTTCATATGCAGACAACACCAAGTTGAGTGGGAGTGTTGATCTGTGGATGGTAGGAAGGCTCTGCACAGGGGTCTGGACAGGCTGAATCAGTGGGTTGAGGTCAGTGGTTTAATAAGGTCTATTAAAAATATCTTATATATCTTGAGAATATTTGCATGGGTGGATTTGAATGATTGGAACATCAGGACTCTTTAGCCTTTCACACCAACAATTTCTTTCCTTCAGGGCTCAGTTTTTCCTTTATATGTATTCATGTCATAGTTACAGTGTCAAGATTTCCCTTAACTGCATTTTAAGTGGGGGAGGGAACTTGTTCCTTCTTCCAACCCAGCAATGCAGACATCTAAGTTATGAGTGTGTGATTCTCATCAGAATAATTCTCTTTTGCTGTGGAAGTGTAACCAAGTGTATACTTGTTGAAAACAAGTCATTAACTTCCTTTTCTGTAAGAGCTGTTGGGAACTTGTCCAGCTTCCTGGCAAGGACTGGTGGGGTGGTTGTTTTTTTTGTTAACTAGGAGAGGCTTTGCATCTTTCTTACCACATCCAGCCAGCCTATTCTGGCCTGCTTTAGAAACTTCCTAGAAGCATTTATAAGATGCAAAGACCTCGTCAGGTCTTGATGTAATTTCTGAGGTGAACCCTTGTCCATTCTTTATGGATGAATGGATTTCTTTCCTTTGCAATTAAAATCAAAGAAATGGATATCAAGCCTTATAATTTGTTCCTAGTAAATCAAACAGATGGTAGGAAGGCCAAATTTATCTTCTGGTTAAAAAACAAGAAAGTTGCAATAAAAAAAAAAAAGTCTTGCAATTTAATTACCATTCCAATTATCTTATTTTTCACTTAGACACCTTCTTGAATTATTTTTTTAGGCACAACATTGTTGTGTTGTGCAATTAGTAACATTCATAACATTCCCCAAACACATTGACCTGTTCAAATGAGTCCAGAGGAGGGTCACCAGGATGGTTAGAGGGATAAAGCACTTCCCCCGTGAGGAAAGGCTGAGAGAATTGGGATTGTTCAGCCTGGAAAGGAGAAGCTTTCAGGGTGACCTAATTGGTGCCTTCCAGTACCTTAAAGGAGCCCACAGGAAGGATCTAGGGGGATTTTCTACATGGGCATGTAAGGACGGGTCAAGGGGAAATGGCTTCAAACTGAGAGAGAGTAGGTTTACATTGGATATTGGGTGAAAACTCCTTCCTGTGAGGGTGGTGAGGCACTGGAATAGGTTTCCCAGAGAAGTTGTAGATCCCTATGAGTGTTTAAGCCACATTGGCTGGGGCACTGAGCAACCTGGTCTAGTCAAAGGTGTTCCTGCCCCTGGCAGAGGAGTTGGAACTATGTGATCTTTAGGCCACTCCAAGCCATTCTGTGATTCTGTGAACACTGCACATCCTAGATGATGTTAGAAATGTAGATTTGGTTGGTATCAGTAGAGGCAGAGCAGAGTTTCTGAAGTTCAAACGTGCATTGAAAATAGAGAATCTGTGTTTTAAAGAAATACACAGAGTGAAACTTTTCCCCAAACTAATAGGTGCTGGACACGTTCCAGAGACAGTTCAGTCTGATAAAACTGGTCTTAAGACAAATGGGAACTTTGCACTGCTCTGAATTGGAGATAGAACTGGTTTTTAAGGGCAAACAAAATAAAAGGAATCATTTAAGGTGTTCTCCGGAAAGGAGGTTGCTGGCTGTACTCAGATTTTAAAATTAAACTCTGTTGCAGCACATAATCTAATTTTTGGCCTTTTAGGAAGCTGTACTCATAGTCTTTGGCCAAAATTTAACTCCTATACATTTTTCTCACTGAAATGATTTGTAATCCTTCTATAAAGGAGAATATTGTTCAGAATTGTAGCATTTCTGTTTTTTAAGTGATTGGAAAAAGCAGGAAATACAGTCTTTACTTTTATTATATATTTACCTGCTGTAGACTTAAAATGTACAACTGTTCAGTGACCCTGTTTATAAGGTGTGAAGTTGCTTTTGTCGTCCTTAATGGAAATGTTGTCAGCAGTTTGTCTGTAATGTTATTTACTTGGCCTATTTCTGCAGTTTTTCTTTGCAGCAGGTACACATGCCACAGTGAGGGGAGGGATCATTTACTTAAAACTGACTGAAGTAATGTCCTCAAAGTTGTGGTTATTCTTCTCATCACGGGTTTTATAATAAAAGATCAATTGTGTTCTGCAGCTTCTGTGTTTGCACCTTCCCCCCATCTCTCTCTCCCTCCCTTCCTTCTCTTAATCAGAATTGGTTTTGGTAAAGATTTGGATAGCTGCTGTTTTTTCTTACTTCATTCTGTGTTACTTGGTTCCTCAATTTAGTTCTTTAATTTCTTAACATTGTTTCCTACAATACCATCTGATTGAAACGTATTAACTTGTTTGGCTGGGTAACTATGATTTTTTAATAAGGAGATGGTTGTTGAGTATGAGTGCATATCATCTTTTATGCTCTCAGTTCCAGACATTCAACTGGTTGCAGGAAAAATGTGGGTGTTTGAACATTTCCAACGGAAGGGTAGGGTGGGTGGGGAAGCTTTTTGGAATGCTGATGAATAATATTTGACTCTTGGAAATGCCTTAAGGCCACACACTCCCCTCCCATGCTTTAAAAACAAGTTTTAAAGACATGTGGTCTTGAAGGTATCACCACTGTGCTTTATTTCCTTTCTAACTAACTGGAAGTGAGAAAAGAGTTGAAGTGCAGATGATGGACACTGTGGGTTAGTGCAGGAGTACTCTGCAGGTGGTCCTCTTGGTTTGTGCCCTTGCTACTCTATCTGTGACATAGTGCACTAATAACCTTACACATTAGTCAGAGGGCTTGATTGTGCTACTTTTATTTCCTAGATATAGTTAGTTTTAGAAATTTTATAGCTTTTGAGAAGTTAAGGTCTCTGATGTCTGTAAGCATAGCAGAATCTGCCTTGCAGTAGAACATGGAACTGCAGTAACTTGCAATTCAGTCTGTTTTCAATAGCAGAGTGATAATTTATAACAGTTTTCCCCCCAATGTCTTTTTACAGTATTTGAGTCCAAAGCAGAGTAGATACAGATTGGATTGTTCCCCCGGTGTTGTGAAAAGCAGATACTCACATCTTCTCACTTTAGTGGTTGTGGTAAAACATGTTCTTCTTCCTCTGCATTTGCAGACACGATCAGCTGTTACCATGAGATGGTATCTTCTTAGCTTGTTATAGGCTTTAACAAGCACATGTGTTTTACTCTACATTACTCTTGTTACTTTCAGTAACATAGTGATAGTGATTTGTTTTTTTAATAAATGTTTCTGCTTTATTTATTTCCATCTTTGATCATTTAACTGGTGAATTCTTGTTGCCTGTATTCACACCTGCTCATCTCTCTGTGATGAATGTTTCTAATGAAATAAATCAGTCTTGTAGTTTGAAAGTAACTTTGGTTTCAGTTACTTCTTACAGGTAGTAGCTGTTTGACGGTTGAATGCAATGCAACTGCTTGGAATTTTAGTTTGATTCTGTGCCAACCAACAAGAAAGTACAAGTTAATTCCTAAAAACGCTTGAGCTATAAACTGTGAGTCATGACCTAGCATGCATATACTACTAAGAAGCTTAGAGGCTAATAGAGCCTACCTGAAGGGAGCCTACAGGAAAGCTGAAGAGGGACTTGTTACAAGAGCATGTAGTGACAGGACGTGGGGGAACGCTTTCAAACTGAAAGAGAATGGATTTAGATTAGATAATAAGAAAAAAATGCTTCCCTGTGACGATGGTGAGGCACTGGAACAGTTTCCTAGAGAAGCTGTGGGTGCCCCATCACTTGGTCTGTTCAAGGCCAGGTTGGATGGGGCTCTGAGCAACCTGATGTGGTGAAAGGTGTCCCTGTCCACAGAGGGGGTTGTGACTTGATGATCTTTAAAATCCCTTCAATCCAGGCCATGCTTTGGTTCCCTTATTTTGGTGGCCATGCAATGCATGTTGTAACAGGTCAGTAATGTATTCTGTCACTGGTTTTGTGCAGCCCACACATCATCTTCCTGTCCCAGAGTGTCCTGCCAGGAGGGAGCCATCTCTGTGGAACTCGTCTGTGCCATGAGATCGGTCATGCTTGGTTTGGGCTGGCCATTGGTGCTCGGGACTGGACTGAAGAGTGGATCAGTGAAGGCTTTGCCACTTTTTTAGAAGATGTATTTTGGGCTAGGGCACAACAGGTAAGGTGATGGTACATTGTTTCAAAATTGAATTAACGTGGAAATCAAAATTATATACGTGGCATGCATTAGAGATAAATTAAACCTCCTCTGTTGTGAAGAAAAGTATTTTAAAATAATATTAGAATATGCATGCTAACTTGATTTAAAAAAATGTGATCCACATTGAACACAAATCTTCACGGTGGTAGAGGTCAGTGCAAACGAGAATGGAAATGTCTGTTTGTCAGTTATTACCTTTCCACAGATGTACTACTCAGTTATTAAAATTCAGCTATCAAACAATGGCTCTGCATTCTTTCCACTTATATGGTGTACCTGAAGCTGGAACAATCAACAGAGTCTTACTGCATATTGTAATATTCCAGGTACATAATGAAAATGTTCTGTTTTGTCCAAGGGATGGCCAAGAAGTGTACCTCAAAGCAGAATGGAAGATGATTTAAAATAGGGAACTTCACTTTTTTTTCTCTTACATGCCCAACAAGAGTTACTCTCATGTCAGAGGCTTAGAAATCGTTGCCTGCCTTAAGGTGAAAAGCTCTTAAGTTGCCTGTCAGCTTGTGAAGTGTTTTTCTGGTGCAATTCTTACTTTTGTAGTACCTCTGCTTCTTCAAGCATTTCGTGTGTCAGTCATTTCTTCCTGTGGCTGTGCCAGGTTCTGCCCCTGAGCTCTGCAGGCTTCCACCTGAGGAGGAGCAGGCTGAACTGGGATCTAGCACAATGCACTCTTCCAAACCTCCATGTTATTAAGTATCAGGCAACTTACAGCACCAAACAAAACAGAATTCCTTGACACTTACCATATTCCTGAAACAAGAAAGATAGGCTGTCCAAACATGTGGCTTTTCCATTTTGGTTCCAAAACTCGTTTGTGCCCTTGCATTGAGCATCACTACACTGCTGTGAGCTGTTCACATTAATTCTTTACTTTTGTGAGTCACCTGAAAGCATTTTGATTGTAGTAGACACCTTCCTTGTAGCTGAATGGAAAGGAGTAAGCAACAAAACAGTGTGATGAGTTCCCTTGTTAATGTATAAGGGATACCTTTTAAACATTATTGAGTAGTTTTGAAGCTATTCACTCATACAATTTTAGGATTATGAGTATGTTCTATAGTGCATGACGGTAATTTCAGTTGTGACTGAATGTAATTCAGGGTAGTATTAGCTGCTTTTGCTTTCTCTCGTCTCACAACTATTCTTATAATAGAGAAAGATGAATTAGTATTTATTTGTCAGCTGACAACCTGGCATTTATTTCATAAGTACGAATCTCTGTTAATATTACATAAATGGGGGAAAATACCACAGGGAGCTTTCACAAGTGTAGCAGGGATAGTAGGAAAGAGGAATGAAGTCAGGACACAATGCAGCTCTGAGCTTTAAAGCTGGGTAAAGATGCCATAAAATCCTCTATGCCAGGTACCTATACTGGCATATATACTGGCAACCTATATTCAGTTCATTCATTGCCAGTCACTAAAGGGAAATCAACATGCTCATCTCTCTCCTCAGTCAGAACCATTTAACAGTCTGTTGATTTGATGTGCACAGTGAGGGTTTTGTTTTACTTCGTGGTGCTGTTAACTCTCATAGCAGCAACTGTTATTTTTTGGCTCTTTTTTTTTTTTTCCTTTTTTTTAATAATTGATATTGGTATGTTTCATACATCTTCTAAATATTAAAGAGAAACAAAACAAGTTTCTTGTTCTGAAGGTTGTTATTGTGTGTTGGGAAGCAGCACTCAGTGCTCTGTGCGTGTTTGTGTCCCAAGCAGCTCTCCCTTGAAGAGGTAAAAGGGCAGCAGGAGCTGAAAGCTTTGCTTCGCTGGCGCCGCCTCAGGGATGAGGTGCAGAACTCTGAGGAAGAGCTGCAAGTTTTGAGGTAACAGCATGACAGCATTGTCTTGCATGTGCTCTCTCTCCTGTTTTCCACATTGTCTCCCTTCAAAAGGTATACATCCAAACAATCTGATTAAATCCACCGCGTTTCCTTATTTCCTTTTAATGAAAAAATAAAATGCAAATTAAATTGACTAGGTTGTTCATCTTGACTGTAATGCAATTGCTTCTCCCTTTGTTTTAGAAAGCTCTCAGAAACCATGGGATTTAGTTTGATATGAAATCTCTCTAAGCAGTTTACAAGAGCCACTATTCAGGGGGAAAAAAGCCATTTCCTGAACAAAGTTCTCTGTTGGAAGCTGTAACAGATTCATTTTCTGTGGCTGGAGACAAACACATACATTAGCATGGTATCTAACTGCCAAGCTGAGTGAAGCTTTAAAACACAAGGAAAAAGCATAGTGAACTATATAAATCTACTTTCTCTTTAGAAATTACTAATAATGATATTGAAAATAGATTCTGGTCTTTAGGTAGCAGGTGCTAAGCTCAAGGCTGCTTTTCGGGTAGCTAAAGACATTCTTGCTTTCTCAGTGATTAATAATCTGGGCAGCTGTGACTGGTGGCTTGGAAAGTTGCCACAGCCTTTGATCTGGAGTGTCTGCCTGACTCTGGAACTGCTGAGTCTCCACTGCTCGTCTCCCCACAGCCTTCCACCAAGAAAAACACCTTACTAATCCCAGTTCAAGTTAGGCCAACAGTGACCAGAAATATGGACAAATTTCAAGAGATTACGGAGCCCATTTTCCTGCTCTGGAATACAGGCCATACACACAGACCATCCCAAGTGGGTTTTTACTGACATGTTCTTAGAAAGCTCCAACAAAAAAGTTTTCATAAGAGGGCCAAGCTGTCTCAGTGTCTCAATAAGACAGCTAAACTTAGTGTTAACAGTTAAAAATTGCTTCCTAAAGCACAGCTGAAATATTGTTTATTTCAAACTATGTAGATTTCTTCTTTTCTTTCACCAAGTGGAAGAACAAATTGATACCCATCTTCTATGTAATCAACTTTTAAATGTTTTTAAAAGACTGTTGCCATTTCATTCGTTTAAGGTCTTCCCTTCTTTTTGTGCTTGCTCAGTAGGACCTGAAAGCCTTTTGGGCACTAGAGACTGTTCACCAGCATAGAAATTCTTCTCCTTGACCTCCTGTAATCTGAAAGCATATCACCAACTTTGTAACTGTAGCCTTTCATTGGTCTGGTTTACTTTGTGTTTATTGATGAATTGTGTTATCCTGTGTGTAAGCAGAGTAAATGAATTTACACATTTGTAAGTATGCAATTTGATGACAAGTGTAAATACAAAAGCAAGGTTTATCCCTGGCTGTCATAGAGCTGCTGCCAGCACAACTACTGCTTGACAGGTGCTGGGGTTTTGATTTGTTTTATATAATTTTGTTTTAATATTGGTTCTTGTGATATGAGGCTTATCTGCATGTATGTTTTCCATTTTCAAAAGTATGGAATCACATTTGTTGTCTTTTATGTTAATTATGTAGCTGTTATTTTTAATAAAATGTTATGTTGTGTAAATTTTTAAAATAATTTTTCTAAGGGTCAAAATCCCCTGTAGATTGAAACTCAGGAAGAATTGATTTCTTTTGAAATTGAAACTTAAGCTTTCTATTGACTTCCACAGTTAGTAGACTTAAGTCTCTGAAGAAGAATCCTGCTTACCTTTTGCGTAGTGGTATTCTCAATGCTAACATAAAAGAGTGGGAAATAATTTCTCATTTGAAAAAATATACCTCTAATAAACACTTGAGGAGAGGCACATGATTCCAGCTTGTGATTCTGACCATCTCTTCATTTCTTGCATTTAAGGACTTTCTACTGGTTTTGGTCACAAATAAATACTATCTACTATTGTTGTAGTGTGGACTTGAGTAGGTTCTCTCTTTGCATGTTTACTTGGGGGTTTTTTATTTTCTTTATCCTTCTGAAAGTATATCCTTGTGCTTTCCAAAACTGGTATGTAAGGGAGAAAATTTCAGTCCTTGCCCTGAAGGGACAGGACTGAAGCTGAGCTGGGTTTTGAGCCTGTGCTGAAGCTTGGGCTGGTTCAAACCTGTGTTTTTGTACCAGATATTAAAAGTAAATGATAATTGTTTGTTACTTCTTACCAGTCATGTCAGGAAAAAAAAAATCAGTCAACCCACTCTTCCCAAGCATAAGCTTATTCTTAATTACTTTTTTGTTCCCTGTTGGACAATCGTATGATTTTCTGTGCTTTCTCCCGACAGCTGGAAAAATCTGCCCCAAACTTGTCAGCTGATCCCATTAGCTTTTGATCCAGCAAATGAATACTTGTTTAGACTAGGTGAAAGCCACTCAACCAACTGATTACCAGCCTGATGTTTCTTATTATTATGGAATTTGGTATTATGTTGTAGTAGCGTGTCATAAGATGCCTGTGAAAAAAGAGGTCAGAAGGAAATAGGTGAGTGTCTTTTCAACAGGCAGCAACTCTGAAAGGCAGCACCAGCAGATCTTAGTGTTGCATGCGATGAAAGAGGTTATTCTTGCAAGTATAGTCATGTAAGCTATTAGGTCACTGATCAGGTATATAAAGAGAAATCTCTAGTTGAGCATAATGACTTCACTGTTGTCCCCTTCCTCTTCCCTTCCCCTTAAAATGTCTCGTTTGTTTGTTTGTTTGTTTCTCTTTGTTCATAACTTGTCTGCACTGGAGAATGACGTTGAACTTGATGTCGTGCTGGCTGTGAAAAGAGTACACCACCCTAGTGATGGATTTAATTTAGTAGGAAATTCATTTGTTTGACTAAATCAAATTATATATTCAGGGTAAAGAAGACTGAACTGATCACAGGTGTCTGCAGTTACTGTGCCATTTACGATGCTTTCAACTATTAGAATGAGTAATGGGTGAGTTACTTCTTTACTTACTTATCCAAAACTCAATTAGTGTGTTTCTATTTTAGGCCCAACAAGGAGAGCACAGGAGAATTGAGTGAGTCTGGAGCATCTGTTGTCAAATATGGTCTTAAAGCAGAAAAAATCTTCATGCAGGTTCACTATTTGAAGGTGAGTGTTGTCAGTTGATTTTTATTGAAGTTGCTTTATGAATATGATAAAGATTTCTGTCTTCTGGACATCAGCAAATTCATAATTTCCTGTTTGTTTCTGCCTTAATGTCTTGCAGGGTTATTTCCTTTTGAGATCTCTGGCAAGGACAGCAGGAGAGGCCTCATTCCTTCTGTCTTTGCGAAAATTTGTCCGTAAGTTCCACGGGCAGCTCGTCCTTTCTCAGGTACTGTGCCTGGGCTTGTGCTTCACCTTTGGAAAAAAAAAAGACTACTCAAACTTTTGGATTGACTATCTAAACGTTCACTTCTGGTTGTGCCGTACAGAGAGAGGCAATTGTCATTTGGCAATATGGGTGAAATTACTGAGGGCAGGACATTTTTTTGACAGTTATACATAAATCAGACACCTTGTTAGTATCTGATAATATAAACAATGGGTGATTTGTTTTAACTTGCTACATTGAAAGGTCAATGTTCATAGATACTGACATCAAAGATAGGGTCATTTTACCATACTGGAATTGTCTCCCATAATCTTTTAGCTAATGGGTTTTGCTTTTGATCAGTCAGTCTTTTACCAGATTATCCTCTGTTTCTGAAAGAGGAAAAATTATATTTCTGACTTTTCTTCCTCTCTGCATGCTGCTTCATTTAATGCTTGTCATTTCAGTGTCCTTCTTATGAGGGCAAACCCAAATGGGTAGAAATTTACCTCCCTCTAGGTCTTTCTGGAAAAGTCCTGTAACTGTTGGCTCTAGTTTTGTTTTGATTTAGGAAATTACATAGCTCTGTGAACCCGAAGTTCTAGGAATCCTGCCATTGGTGATGAATCCAGCTGGTTCCACAGCACTGCAAGTAATGCTGTGAAAACAACCACTCATGGGGGTGTCTGTGAACCAGGACTCTGAACTCATATGGTTAAAAACAGTCCTGGAACAAAACCTACGACACAACAAATATTTAGCATTGCTGGAAGAGCAGTGTGATGAGAGGCAAAGGAAGAGAAAGGGGAAGGGGAATGAGTGAATTTCTGAAACCAGTTTCTTTGCTGGTCTGTCTTTTATGGAGTTATGGTTCAATTCTTTGAGGATGTTCTGGGGGGTGATAAATGTCTCCTTGCAACACAGAGCAAAGGCCTCTGATTTTGCAGGACTGGAGTCCAACACTTGCTGTGTCTCCCAGCCACCGTGATCCTGTGCTTGCATGCTTGCTGTTTGGAATCTCACTCTTGTGGGGAGAGATGTGTGCCCATATATCTTACAAGCAGCTCACAGACCTGGGAATTCTTTCATATGTCAGGTCACCCAAGAGTCGGGCACAGCAGCTCCAACACAGCAACTCTGCCCTGTGGAGGAATATTTGGGGTGTTGGGGGGGTGAACACTAATGCAGCTGTTCCTGTGCCTGTTACTGGCACCCTGAACCACATGTGGCATAGTGTGGAAAATGCCAGGGACTGTAGGAGTTTTGTCTACGTTATGGTGTCCAAAATCATAAAAATGATGCTTCACTATTTCACAGATGAAAAAATTTTGAAAATTGCAGAAACCATGAAACTGCTAACAACAAAAGCAGCCCAGGGTTTTAATCTGGTGGTTAAGGAAGGTGCTCATATTTTGATGACAAGAAGTTAACTTGTTGCTCCTGGTTGGTGTGAGATGAGTTGTCAGTAGATTGTTTGAATGCTGCAAAATGTCTCAAGAAATTATACTACTAGTCTTAAAGACTGTGTTTATATTAGTGTCTGGTATAGGTAGATAACGAATCACAGCAAGAATTGCAAATGCAGAAGCAATAAAATCAAGTTAGTACAAAGTTTCTTGTTCAAGTTTCTTCTTGAACAAACATGCTGTCAGTGTTTAAATGAATAAAAGATTTAAAATAAATAGAGGTGAAAATGGTAAGTTTAAATATCATAGTGCTGTATTTTCACCTTGTCTGAAATAATGGTAAAAGTTTCCAGCTTTGGAATTCTGGGCATAAAGAAAAGTAAAACCAGTGAAAAATTGCCCGTGTTATGAATACTAGTCTTGTTTTCAGTTGTGTTTGTAGTAATTTTCCTAGATGGGAGCTGCAGGTGCAAGGAAATTACTTCAGATGTGAAACGTTCATCAGTTTACCTTTTTCCTTGGTTTTGTTTGCATGCTCAGTAAGATTTTAATAGTAGTTTATTTTAATTGAGTTAGCAATAGGTGAGTAAAGCAAGTCTGGAATCTTTGAGAAGGATTTTTAAAAAAATCTTCCAGTTTTCTTTCTATGAGAGAATCCACTTAGTAATTGCTTTGAATGAACTTTTAAAATAATGAGTGGAGTGTTCTTTGCTGTAACTAAAAAGGAAGGAGTGAGAGTTACTGATACTCCTAACACAGTTAAAGCTGTTGTTCTGCTTCATATTGAAATAGGAATATCTTGGGAATTGAATTGTTTGCAGACTTTAATTTTCATGTAGTTATGTCTGTTATAACAGGCAACAAATCCTAATTTTGACTGAAGCCAGTCAGTGGCTCCATCCCTGGGGCTTAAACTTTCCAGCTGTCTGGCCAAGGATTGCTGTCTGATAATTGAACATATAGGTGGGGAGTCAAGCTTGCTCTTGGTAGGAATTATCATCTTTGGAGCTGCATTCTGGGCTCCTCACCAAAACCCCAACAGAAGGATTTAAAAATGTTGTTGATTTTGTTAAATAAAAGCCAGGAAGATGAATGGGGAGGGAATTCCAAATAAACAGGGACCTACAAATGGTGCTCATTATTTATTTTTCCACCCAGAGGGGATAAATTAACATTTACCATTTACTTATGTAATTTACAAACTGCATATTTGTTTGGGGTAGTTTAGCTTTGAGTGGATAATTTCTGCAAGAAATTGGGTGTAAGTGCAATCTGAGTTTATTTGTTGCCACGTGAATGTCCATTTAGATGTGTCACTTTTAGTCATGAAATCTCCATTGCTTTTATGCACCTCGTTTATATTTCAGTCAGAGAATTTAAACTAAAGTATCTGTTGGTTGTAGAGCATTGGAAATATCTAGATTTGAGGTTTTCATATGAAGATATAATTTTTCTTTTAATATTGAATGTTCTTTATTTGATATCAACATGTGTACAGCCATTAACAGTGCAAAGAAAATTTCTCCTTGATCTCAAATGCACAGTCTTCTCCAGGTTTGATCTACCCAGCAGCCCAAAGTTGTAGTCGTGATTAAAATTGCTGGCTTCAGTCAGGGCTATAGTTGAGAGCAGACAAGAGTCATTAGGGAATTTAATTATAAGAGGCCAGCAAATGCTCAGTGAACATGTGTGAACTCATTTTTCTAAGGCTTTTTCAGTTTGGCCAAATGTCAATAGAGTTACAGAAACTGCAGAATAATCTTTTCTTTATAGAGGGAAAAGTTGTTTTCTAGCCTCTGGTTCTCTAACCAGGGAAGAATAACAGGAGCAGTGAGATGATTTGATCATATCAGTATAAGCCAGTTTGTACCTATTGCAGCACTGGGGTGGCACATGACTTCTAATTCATATTTTCTTTCTGCCTTCACTGAATTACTTGCAACAAAGAACAAACTATAATTTATAATCTGATCCAGAATTTATTTATGATTACCCTGGTCATCCCCAAGTCTTTGCTTCAAAGTGTAGGGTCCCTAGGACGTGGCATCAAAGCTTAAAACCCCCTGCATTCCCCTCTGGGTTTTCTCTTGGGCACTGCTAAACTATTTTGTCTAAGGAGGAAGAAAAAAATACCATGAGGATAAAATTGCAATCCAGATGGTTAAAGTTTGGCAAAATTATAAGCAATTGAAAAGTCAGACCTATAATGAGATGTGTCATGCAGACTTGATAATAGGCAAATGCTAAAAGGCATGCTAGTATGAGTAAACGGTAATTTGTTTTCCTGCTCTGTTTTGGAGCATCAAAATAGGAGCAGTTAAGATAAGACAGATTAATCCTAATTTTAAGACAGTGTGTAGAATGATGGTTACTACATTATTCTTATTAGATATTTGGAAAAATGAAGACAACTTTAATCACAAAGATGTTTAATTTCATAGTATAATATACAGAATATAAACCCATTTCTAATACTAGAGCTATCTTTAAGTATACTATTGATTGATTATAAGAAGTCTATGCAATCCAGTCAGGGAATCATGCTGCATTAATATGTACAGACACAGCAAATGGTGTGAGGGACGTCCACTGCAGTTTTACTTTTCACACACTTTTCAAACAACTCTAATCATGAGCTTTTCATTTTCTTTATTTACATGTAACCTTACTCAGTACCTCCAACAAAACTTCCACAAGTGGAGGAATTCTCTGTTTACATACAGAATAATGGTACAGAACTTCAAGTGGGAGTATGAAATAAGGGAATGTTACACTTGCTCATGGTGTCAGCAGTGCACTGGAGCTGGGACAGAAGGACTCCTGGCACAGTCAGTGATGCCACTCTGGCTGCAGCAACACTGAGCCCAGCACCATGCAATTTACTTTTTGTCATAAGCCAATTTTGCAGCCACTGCTCCAGGACCTGACTCTCACTTATGATCTAAAGGAGGAAGGCTTAACTCTACTACAAGTGTGCAGTCACTGTTACTTTGGTTCCCTAACAATGCCACACTCAGAGAAACAGCATCTTTTGTTGGCTGCTGTGACAAGGTCTCTAAATAAAAGATTGCCTTTTAGGAAACATTCTTCAAGGCCTTGAAGAGCAATGACTTACAATCAGAAATCAGCCTGCACTCATACACTGCAGTGGGGAACATTAACAGCCTCTGAAACTTGTATCCACAAAGATTAGTATTAATAAAGTGGATGTATTGATTTATGAAACAGCATATAAATGAATGATGCACATTAATAAGTCCTATTATATGAGATTATTCAAAGGAGTGTATTCTGCCAAAGTGATTGTCATTAAAATTATGTCATGTAGAGCACAGGGTGCCAGAAAACCTTTGAGTGATGTCAGGCATAACTTTCTATAGGGGGTTATCATACTGGTAGAAGTGAGGATGATAATAATGCTCTTCCATTGGCATTGAAATGTCCTTGTAAATACCTGAAAGAAATTCTGGTTGTTTTTTCTTTGAAGAATTTACTCATTAGTTGAGGTGGTTATCAGCAACGTTGTGGATTTTGTTGTGGAATGAGGAGTAGGTGTGATCTTCTAGTCAGGCCTGGGCATTAAGGAAGAAAAAGCCTTATGTAGTTATATAATTGAAGACAGTGTGATAACATAAGCACATTGAAGAACATGTAAAGACCCTTAATTTTGGTGTTTCCTAACCTTTGAGTATGTGAATCTGCAGCCTTTAACAGTTTTAAATGTAGTTTGTGTGTGTGTGTGCATATTGTAGATAAAAGTGGGAATGTGGGATTATGTTAAAACAGTCAGCAGGCTTTTCAAGTCCATTTTCTTTCAGTGTTAACACTTTTTGCATGAGTGGGTTGGAAAACTGCCAAACATAATGTATGTTGTATAAATAACTGAGCAATATATCACCATAGCAATATATAAATTTATTTCTTAGCATTCTTTTATTTGCAGTCTGTAAGAAAACGTTGCTCACTAGCAATGCAGACACAGGGTTACATCTTCATAAGCATACTAACTGTGGTGCTTTGTTCCTTTTCCAGGATTTCCTTTGCATGCTGTTGGAAGACATCCCTAAACAAAAAAAGTAAGAACTGGGCTAGAAAAGAAAAAAAAAAAAAAAAAAAAAAAAAAAAAAAAAAAAAAAAAATCAGATTTAAATATCAGCTGTGCCAACCAGAAATAGTGGGGATTTCATTTAGTGATTTCATTTAGTATTGTTCTGTTTGTTTTTTTCAAGTGTGTGTTCCTCTGAAAATTCCCATACATATGGACACAAAAACTTGTGGGCCTTGCTGTTTTATTGCTGTGCCTGCTCTCCCTGAGCAGTGCCTTTAACTTGCCTGTCAGATCAGAAGTGCTGTCCTGTGTTCACTGTGCAACTGAAGTTCCAGGCATAGCTGCCTACCCAAATTACCCTCTGCTCTGCCTGCTATGCATCTGGCAAAACAGAGAAAATGCATTTTTCTCAAGAAGTAGTCTGGTGCCATCTCCTCCCTGTCATACAGTGTATCCAGGGAGGAAAGATGGAAAACACGGATGGAAATCCAGCATTAATTGCCTGACATGTCCTCCAGAATCCTCCTGTGTGTGACTGTGGCTGGTTGGATATGACTCAGATTGTCTTTAGCAGCATTTGGAGTCTATCCTTGCTTATCTGTTGGTTTGTTCTGTGCTCCTGTAGCCTGTGCTACAAATACAGATTCTTTTGTAGTGGAGCTTTACGTATTATACTTTTTTAAAATAATGTATTTACTTGAAAAATGTAACTTTGAAGACCAGTATTCCAAAAGTGGTGATAACTCTGGATGAGTGGTTTGGAGAAAAAAAAAGGAGAGAAAAAATTCATAGAAGTCAAATATATTGAGGTTTTTGGTGAAACACTTCTGTTCCTAAAGGTTGAGGGACAAAGAAGCTCATTAGCATTGAGAAAATGTGTTTTGTGACACTCTGAATTTAGTTAGGGTGGTGTTACATTTTCCAATGATGTACTGAAGGATAATACTTTGTTTATCTAACTGAATATAATTTCCTGCTGAAATATAAGCAGGAATATTATATGGAATATATACAAAAGTGGATTTTTTAGTGGTATGATTATACATTAATTTGTTTAAAAAAACTCATTTTCCTTCCTTTTTTCTTATGTTTCTCTGAAGTCCGAACCCAGTGCAAAATGTTATTTGCATAAGCATCCACTTTTCTGCCTATACACATGCTAGTATATTTTAACTTTCAGTGAGACTAATGCAAAAGAAGTATGGCTCCATTTGTGATGCATCACACTCCAGAATGTATGAACAAAATTTCAGATCTATGGTAATTCATTTTACAGTCATATATGTAGCATATCTGAACCAAAATTACCTTGGATGCAGATTTCAACAGCAATGCAAGATTAATAGAATATCTGGATATACAGAAGGCCTTTATTTCTTATCTGCTGCAAGGATGTTTTTTCATTCTTAAACGCATTCTGTTCCTAGTACAGAAATACTCACCTGAGGTAAAAGAAAAGGGAGGAAAGAGAAAATGAAATATTTTTAGAGATCATCTATTGATCAGTTCTTTTTTACACAAAGTTTGTTGTGGGAATGAAGTGCATTTCCATACTAGAGCAACAAAATTCTTTGTAGCACACAAAACCTTCCAGACTTGTGCAATTCTACCAAGCAAATTTTAAAAGTTTAAACTAAATGCTGCAAATTTGACAAATATTAAGCACTCTAAGACACCGAAGTTTGTAATGGAGGCTGGTCTTAATCATTTAAAAAAAAAAAAAAAGAAGAAAAGAGAAATGTGTAGTAGATAATCAATCCAAATCCTGCCCTCAGCTGTGGCAACAGAGGAAAACTAGTGTAGTTAGCAGTAGAACTTGGCTTATGGGAGATGTTTGTAATGAGAACAGGATGAATATTGACAGAAAATGGTCATGCAAGAGTGTGGAAATTTTCTGTAATTATTACACTGCAGTGATGTAACATGAACTCACTCTCTACTGTTGGATACAGAGGCTACATCTAAAAGATTTTCACCTTTCAGTACTTAATTCCTGTAGTTTTTATTTAAAGGAGATTTTAAAGTACATTCCCAGTGATGAGTAGTTCCAAGATACAGACATAATTTTTTAAGGGGCAGTCACTGATTTTTGCTGCCTTCTGTGTTCAGAGGAGGAGATTTTTATGCCTGGTTAATAGGGCTCCTTCCCTTCCTGCTCTGATTCAATTATCATGGCATGCTGGCTGCAGGAATCCATCCTGGGAGGAGGATCCTTCTGGTTCTGGACTGCAGCTGAATGCTCACACCAGACAGGCTAAGCACTGCCTTCTGGGCCTTTATAATTTCTTATCTTGCCTTTAAAGCAGATTATTTGTCTGTGTGAAGGACTACTGGTGAGAAGGACAAACAGAGATTCATCATTACCCTTCTCTGTTTAGAAAGATTTTTAAAATATTCCATGCACTGGCTGGAGTCTCACATTACCTTGGCCCTTCTGCAGAACAGCTGCAGTACCTTCCCACCTGTAATTGAGGCATTTGACTTGCTCGTGTATCATTTGAGACTTCACTACATTGAAAAAAACAAGCAAACCAAAACAGACACCAACAAACCCCTCCTGTGTGTCTATATAATACAGTGCACTAGGTTTTATAAAGCTCCTGGTGGCTCTGTTCTCCCCAAGGCTCACACCCACAGTCTGTGCTGCACCTTCATCCTCTGCACATCTGCCCAGCACGTGAGCTGGGCCAAGGCTCAGTATTTACCCCTGGAACAGAGGGGGAACTTCACTAGTCTCAGATAAATCTTTAAATCTCTAAAGACTTGCTGCTTGTGCAGCTACTTTGTGACTGCAGATTTTTTTTGAGCAGGTCAGTTCTGGTCTTTGGAGTTTTGTGCTCGTAGTTTTTATTTCATTTCATTCAATAAAATAAACAAGTCTACTACTAAGCTATGGTTTTAATAATATGTGATAGACAAAGGAAGGCTTGTGGTACAGCTCTACTATTTGTACTGTTAATAACCCAGGCTCACTAACCACATTCCTTGGATGTCTTCATAATTTGTCGATTAAGTACTGAAATAATGCATCAATTTCGAACTACTCAGCTATACATTTCAGTTGGATATGGCAGACTTTTCTATCCTCCTTTACATATAAAAAAAAATTTCACACTTTCATGGTTTCTCCCTCTTGATTTAGGAAGTAAGTGGGTTTATCCTGAAGTTTGTAGAGTGCCCTGGGGCCTTGTGCAATGAAAACTTGATATATAGACATCTCTTTAAATACTCGTTTTCAAGTTATCATTAATGTTAGTGTTTTACAGACCTTGCTCTGAAGCATTGAATCTGGCCATGAACTGTATATATGCATGTCAGGAAATAATTCCTAGGCTGATTGGCTTATCGTCTAAACAAATAGACAAGGGAGGAGATAATGGATGTAAATCCATTCTCATTTTACAGCAGGGAACTGCAGTAGGAAGCAATGAAGAACCTGAACAATGGAACCCAGATCCCACAGTCCAGTGCAGAACCTTAAACAGAATCCCATCCAGAAATTCACACAAACACCACATTTAAGCCCTTACAGATGCTTAACTGCAACCTAAGTGGGTGGTAAGTGCCCTCACTGAACTGCAGCCTCTACAAACACCAGGCTATCTGTCCTTTCCTACCATGTTTTTTTTTGAAATAGCAATAGTTTATGATAATTTTTTGGGGGTTGTTTTGAAGCCAAGCAAGTTAGTGGAAACCTTTCCAACATCTTCACAGTTCTTCAGTACTGACTCTTAAGAGGTTCGGAGCAGATCTGCTTATTACTAATATATTAAAAAAAAATAGTGGATGCCTGTAAACTGCTGAACCAAGTTGTTTCTTTTGATAGGTGCCAACAAGAATGTCTGAAGTTGGAATAAAAAAAGGTGTGTCCAAGTAGAAACAAAGAAGATTGCATATGGTCATATGGCAGGTGTTTGGCTGAAACTGGGGGTGCTGCAGGCAGAGAAACAGCAGCACTGTTGTCTTTGCCCTTGGGAAAAAGGATAGTTTTAGGAAAGGCCGAGTAGCTGTCTCGTGGTTTACTGCCTGGGTTAGTGTAGTGGCAGAACAGTGTGATTCCCCTCAGTGTCATAAACGCCAGTTTTTGAAATGAGGGGGTGTATTACATAAATGCTCTACATAGCAAATGTAACATAGATTATTTTGCAGAGTTTTTCTATCATGAGGAAATCGCACAGTGTAAGTTTAGCTTCTGGGGGAGGGAGGAAAAAGGACTACCTGGTATTGTGAGGCTGTTTTTCTTATCCCTTGGTAAGACAAACTAAATGCACAGATAAGAGAATTTTCCCCAGCTCCTAGTTCTGCTTCAGCATTAGAACACTGAGCTGTATTTGTTTTGATTCATGCAATAACAAATTAAAAAAATTGTTATTCTGCTTATAGTACTTGAGACGGAATAAGTGGTACAATCCACATTTACATCTTTAACTGTGTAAAATTTTGGTGCCCAGTTTTAAGCTAGTCCTGTATGCACTTTTTCTAGTAACCAGACAGAAAAGAGAACTCAAGAACATCATCTTATTCTGAGGAAAGTACATTGATTAACTGTTTGGAAATACTTTTCCTTTTCTCTATTCCCTGTAGAAGGGACTCAGCTAACTAACTTAAGACTAGACACCAATTTTTAGAGCATGATGGTAAGGTGAAGGCAATTATACTTTGAAGGATATAGCAGTCAAATGCTCTAAATTTCATAAGTTTGAATAAATATCAAGGAACAAGCCTGGATGTTTAATAATTTATTTGAATGTGGAACACTACACAAGCATCACATACATGTTAAGTTTTTTGTAACAAATTTATTTATATATTCAAACATGCACAGTGGTGTTTTCCTTAAAATTCAGAATCCTAGCTGTGTAGAAACATTTCTGCTTGACTGCTGCAATTATTTGAATCATGTGATCAGAGAAAAATTTGTATTGAGTTGCTTTGCCTTCCTGATTCAGAGCTTTGAAATGGTTGTTCTTTCCATGAATGCTTTGCTTGCTATGAGTCTGCATTCCACATGTGAAAGTAGCTGCAAGTGTGAGAACGAGCCTTGCCATGCACGGGACCACACACATCTGTTCTGCTCCTCAGAATATTTGCATTCACTGAGGGCTTCTCCAACTCCCTTTCTCCAGCACTGGCACACAGCACGGACAGTGCCATTTTTTAAAAAAATTGTTTTAAATTTCTTTTTATTTGAGTTCCCTGCAAGTTGGGAAGTCTCCAACCTGAACTGAAGTAAATGCAACAGAAGTTGGCTACAAAAGTAAAAGGGGAAATATGATGTCTGAATTTGCAAATACTTAGCATGTGGTTATTTCAGTCTCACAGGGCTTGATCGTGAGAGACTATTTCCTTTTGTTGGAGCTCCAGACTCTTCTGTGATTTCACTATGAATGTTATCGGGATGTAAAGAAAGTGCAGAAAAGACAAAGCTAGAGTTTATTAGATACTTGGTAACTTTGAGAATTAATATCCATCAGTGCCATTTAAAACCTAAAAGTTTGAGGAAGTTTGTATTTAATTTAATTTAGTGTTTTATCTTTACATTTAGGCTGCTTCTTTAATAAACTACTGGTTTTGAATGTTTCAGTATAAATGTGCTTGCCTAAGACTTTTTTCCTGTAAAGAAACCAAAAAGCCACTCAGTGAGAAGCAGAGGACCTGTTCATACTTCACGTGTTCCATAAATGTGGTTTACCACCTAACACTTTCTCTGTCATTCCTCATAAGCACTGAATTTATCATTTGAGTTTTGAGCACAGAAAACCTGATCTGCCTGATTTGCTCATGTGACCCGTTATGGTATTATTCATTAAAAACCCAAGAATGTAGTACTACTGCAGTACAACAAATACTTGGAATTAGGGAGTTTGCTTAGCTTCTGAAGGGTTATTTTATGTATATGGAAAAAAAATGGTATTTTTGTGTGTGTCTTCTAATTTTTTTTTCCCCCCCCCAAGATCCGGGTTAACTGTTGAAAGTATCTTCCAGAACTGGCTTGACACTTCTGGAATACCAAAGGTAAATATAAAATACCAGTTCACAGTCCCTTCTGGAGTCTTGCTTTTCTCATTACATTATGTTATTTAAATCATTACCTGAATTTATAACAGGTATGATTTTAAATAAAGAGTTTTGTTTGTATGTGATTGGCTCTTGGATTTCAGCAGCCTGTCTGGTGGAAGGTAGCCCTGCCCATGGCAGGTGGGTTGGAACTAGATGATGCTTAAGATCCCTTTCAACCCCCAAACCATTCTGTGATTCCCTGATTGTCCTACTCAAAGAAAAAATGGATTGGAGAGGAAACTCATGGCAAAACTGTTTAAAAATTTAAGCTGGAATATAATTTGCGAACAGTTCTAAATCAATGCAAGTCGAGTACTTCTGTGGTTTCATAAATTTTAGGAGGATATTACAGCAGCAGCTCAGGTACTTAATATGATTTCTGATAAAGCAGTTTGCTGTTAAGAAGGGTCCTGGCTTTTGCCCCAATTATAAGCTGTATAGATTTCCTGATTCCCTTTTTTAAGACAAAAATATGGATGAAGGGATGGCTCTACAGGAGAATGCTTCACAGGGTAGCAGTTATAGTCAGTTACCGCATTCAAATATTTTTCAAAAGAATGCTCTTACTAAACTCCAGTTGTGCATTCCAGTTTTATAGAGGGTACTAGAAAATTTTTCTTGCATAAAAATCACTCTTATTGGATCAGAGTATGACTTAAGGCTTAGGGTTGTTAACACTTGATATTTCTTGTCATTGCTAGTCATGCCTTATCTTGAAGTTTTTCTTTTGGGTTGTACATAGTAACTACTTATTGGTGGTTGGCAACATGAGACAGTAAAGAAGTGAAATGCTTGCTGTTTGTTGAGATACAGTAAATTTGTAGGCATTGGCAGTGGGAATGACCTCCTAAGTATGTAAATCTCATTCAAGTGTGTGATTTGGGGAAAAAAATGGGAAGAGTCTATGAGAGGTATCATTTTCTTTGGTATTTAATAACGTTTAATAGTGAATCTCACATTAATTTCAAAATTAGTATAAAGTATTAGTCCCAAGAACAGCAGGCTGCTGATTAAATACTTAAATGATGCTTACCACTTGATTATTTTTTTATCTGAACATGGAGATTTTTGTGTGTGTTTTTAATACCAGCACAGAGAATATAACTGATTCAACTGATGGTTCAATTCTGTTTGAGAAATAATCTGAAGAAAGCATAACTGCTACCTTAACATGTATACTTGTTCTTATACATGGAAACCACACTTTGATGAATAGGCACTTCCACTCAAGAAAATTGGTATTTTTTTTTGTATTAACAAGTTTGCAGACTGGAAGATTAAAAGATCTTTCTTAAGTTGTTAAAAATGTAAATGAGCATAGATCAACAATATCATTTGTTTAATGTCTTCTGTAGTGATAGCAAGCACAATAAGAAAGAAGTTTTTGAATGTGAGTTATTAGTGCTGTGTTTTTTCTGAGATTATCAGTTCTACTGACAACATTGCATCCCATTTTCTTAGAATAAAGATTTTGGGAAAATATAAAACTGTAATCAATGTATAGAGTACTGTAGCATGCATAAATGTTAGATGAATCAGACAAGACAGACAAACTCAGTCTGTATGTTGTTGACTCTGAAAAAGATAGACTATCCACCGGAAAGTTTTCTAGATAGACCATAGGATACAGAGAATTTTGTTTGCAACAAACTGTCAAAAAAGATGTAAGGTCTGTTATTATTTAAATAGATCTGTATTTATCTAAAGACGGTTATTGGCATAAAATGGCCTTGAAATTTATTTAGCCATTCCTGTAAATTGCAGTTAAGATACTGCTAAATGAGACACAACAGTGGTGTATTTTTGTTTGTAGAATAGTTCAAAAGTTCATGAAAATGGCTTATATAAAAAGATACATCATTAAGTGTTAGTAAGGACACAAATTTGTCACAGAGCTCTTGAAGTTCAGGTGTGATTTAAAGTATTGTTATCATTTTGGCAGGTTTGATTTAAGTTTCTTCTGCATTGCACGTGATTGCTGATTTAGGAGAAAACCACAGACATTTGAGATCCGAATAGTGTTGTTACAAAGTGTTGTGTGATTACATTCTAAAATGGGGTAACGTGCTGCCTCAGGTTAGATGCTCAGGGGGCACTGAGTAACTTGGTGTCTAGGTTGAATGTAACTTTTAAAAGTTAGAGTTGAAAGTGTTGGCTGTAACATTTTAGTGCCTTTGTTGTTCTGAATTCCAAAAGTTAAGCTTAAAACAGAGTTTTAGGAGTCTTAATTTAGGAGTCTCAATTTATGAAGTGAATAATTAAGAAAAAAAAAAGCTTTTGAGATTCTCAGCTGGGACCATGAGTCTACATTAAGGATGAGGAGGATACTTTACTGGATTTAGTTTTATGACCTGCTAAAACATTGGCTTGCCTCTTCAGTTAAAAGCCAGATTTTCACAAAAGCGATTCTGTTTTTCTTCTGACTGCCTTTCAGTATCCTGTGTGTTCAGCTCAGAGGTAAAGTACTTGTAGTAGTAGAGTAAATTTGCACAAGTAATAACTTGGTTGAGACATTGAAGTGCGTTTGAAACTAATGTTCAATTTCTGCAGTAAGTGTGGGCTGGATTCCTTGTGTTTGTTCATTAGGATCTCTTTTAAGTTTAATAAATCTCAGGCAGTCATTTTCATTCCCTTTTCCTTATTAATTGCATTGCTGAACACAAAAGCTGTGTTATGTGCAGAATGGCTGAGCTTCTGCGTACTGGAGTTATGTTTGGTATCTAAGAACAATAACAGTTTCCTGCCTGGCTGATCAATGCTGGATTGAGTTCACATTCCCAAGCTCCCACTCTCCCACCTACATGTGCAGGGGGTGAAAACATAGCAAAGGGAGGGAGGACAGGCCCTCTTTTTTACAGAAATGTTGAAGGTAGACTTGCTTAATGAGGACACAGCTGGGCTTGCATAGCAATAAACATTGATTTTAATTCATTGCTTGTAAAAACATCCGAAGAAAAGCACAGAAGTTAGCAACCAATTAATTTTTAGCCTGCTCATTGTTTTCTTTACTCAATGGAAACAAACCATTAAGGTTTAAAATATTTTTCATGCTACCTTTCAAGAAAACAGCTTTTCTGTATTAATTAGGAAAGAGTAGGCTTTGATATGTCTGAAATCTCTCCAGTTTGGGGTTCCTTACAAGTAGTTTTATTGCATCGGAACAAGGTTATGAAATAATGAAAAGTCAAATGCTACTCTAGGAAATAATATTTGAGATCTTTTTAGTGCAGGAGGATAAAGAGTTGGGCCTGAAGCTGAGGTAGAAATTTTATGTGACAGAAACAAGTTGCCACCTACCATTCCCAGTGGTCTAGGGTTTTTAAAAGAACACTCTAAATTTTACTTCCTTGAAAATTTCCCTGTTTTCTAGGCTTTTAGAAAGACATGTTTGTGACTGGAAGGAGTGAATATGTGGGGAAGATGTATTTCACACATGTAAAAACACATACTATGCACCTGATGTCCATGCATCCCTCTGTAGTGCTAACCCAAAAAGTGTGACCTGCTGATTCATTACGGAGTGCAGGGCCAACCTAAAATCTGAGGGTTTATGTCCATATGTGATTGTATTAAAAAGAGTTATATCTTGCTACTTTTAGAGAAAGATGTTGTAACTTGTACTCTGGACTGTGTTGGAAATTCAGAGCACGTGGCAGTAGTTCTCAAGCAGATAGGTCTAAATGTAAACCAGCAAACTACTTTTCCAGTTGCTCCAGAGGCAACTGTATAGTAGTGAGAGGACCCAGTGAAATTAGAAGAGGAAGAAACCAAAGAGACCATTTTAGCATACTGTAAACATATTCTCATAGTATAGATAATATTTTATCATAATATAGATAATATAACCCCTTATGATACATAAATCATATATCATATGCTATATATCATATATATGCTACATACAATTATTTAGTAATAAGCATATTATTTAGAGATCCTGTGGTATTGTTGTTAGAGATGCTTTCTTTATTAGATTATGAATCTGATCTTGCAACTAATAGGTGGTTCTGGGGATTCATTGATTCGTCTCTACGTAATAACTTTCTTCACAAAGCAGAGTTGCAAATATGGATATGAAGGATATATTTGGATTACCAATTTGAAAAACATTTCTGCCATAGTATGTGAAAGTCCTGTTGCAGTGTGCTGAGAGTACATCCTTCACGTGGCACCAGTGCCATGGTCTGGGAACCACGGCAGGGTTGGATTGGGGTTGGACTTGATGATCTCAGAGGTCTTTTCCAACCCAGCTGATTTTATGATTCTATTGTTTCAATAGGGTTTTGTCTTTTGGAGGTAGACATATTTTAAGGAAGAGGAAGTTTGACTTGAACAGAATTTCTCTGTAGGGATGTTGTGTTGAAAAATATCAGATCAGCATGCTGACTGAAAAGAATGTGTTTACATCACCACAGCGACTCTTGGAGGAATTAGAACATTTAGAACATGACCATCTTTCTTAGAAAATTAATAATGTCAGAAAAACTTGATTTTCCATTTCAGTGAATAAAGCTGTACACATGAAAACTGCACAAAATCAGTTGGAGAACTCACTGTTCTTACAGGAGAACATTCTGGGCTGGATTTCTTTTTCAGTAATTTTTATTTGCTGCAGATTTACTGTTTCTTGCAATGTGGATGCACCAACCGTCTTGTCATTTTCAGATGTAGCCTACTACCTGTTTAGTTTCTCTGCCAAATTCTGGTAACAGTAGTGTTTTAAAATCCTTACAGTTGTTTTCTCAGTCAAATGCTTCAAGCCAGACTTGATCATCTAGTGAGCTACTGGATAAAATACTTTTCTGTACTTCCATTTTCTGAACTTCTTTTTACAAAAGATTGGAAGCCAGGTTTTGCCTGCTGAAACAATTTTCAGGTCATACAGACTGTTCTGAGGGCACATTATATTCTCAATCTCCAAGTAAGCTAATTTTCCAACTAGTGTTCTTTTTTTCCCAGTAAATCATCTGTGCGGTAAGAAAACAGTTGTATATCTTACATTTTATCGTAGTGCCTTTAAATTATCCATTTCTGATATTGCAGAGATGATGGCATCAACCTTAGAAAGTAAGCTGTATCATTCTAGTGTGGTAGGATGAAACTAGGAGGGAGTCCATTTTTTGTTTTCTGTTAAATGGGAAGATGTAAAAAGGTACAAAATTGCAATTTGTAGACTGGTGAAGTTAGCTACATTGTCTAGGAGAAAACGACTTTTCTGTGCTCTTGCTGGTGTCCATGTAGATCTGAATATATAAATGTCAGGGTGTATATGTGGTGTAAATTTCAGTAATTGAGGGGAACATAATATCTCTAGAAATGAGAGGTTGGAAAATGACTACATTAGTTATCAATTTCCTCTGCTTTGCAGGAGCTCTTCTGAAATTCATTTACAGTAAATATTTTTATTCCACATTTTCATCTTTTTCTTTTTGCCTTCCAGTATCTGAGGACTGTTGGAAAGCCTAAAATGGTATTGATTCAATGTTCACCTTAGGTAAAACTACCTTCTTGGTTATCAACACTGACTGTCTTTGCATAAGAGCAGCACAGAGGAACTGAAGTTATAGACAACATATGCAAAGTGCATGATTATAATTTTTCACTTAGTTATGAAATATCTCCATTAGCCATCACAGCCAGAACAATTTAAAAACGGTTTCTGTTTCAATGTAAAATGAAACAGTTGTCTGTTGCACAAATCTCCTATTGTTTTCTAGGCTATGCACAATTCTGAAAGTTCCTTTTATGCTTGGGATCTGATCTGGCTTGAAGAGGAACTGGTGTAAACCATTGCCTAAGTTATTTACCAGGATATTAGGCCTACCTTCACCCAATTGGTAGAAAGTGCTTCTTTCTCCTCCCATTTTTCAAAATTTATGTTTAATCCTGATGTTGCAAGACTGAAGGATCCTAGCGTGCTTTGACATGTTTTAACTGTTATACAGGACAGCTCCATTAGTAGTCTCTGAAACAAAGTCTTCACAAGTGAAAAAGGACACAGAGGATCGACTAATCTCTTAATTTCTATTGTGAAGGGATTTAATAAGACAGTCAGTGTCATGTGGACAGCCAACAGGACAGTTGATAGAGGGTAATGCAGTCATTCTCACTTTAAACTGGGTGTACCATCACTCTTTTATCTGGTGTAAGTAAGTTTTTGAAGTACAGAGGAATACAGTAGGAGACCAAATGTTCTTAAAAAATCTTCTCCCCCCTACCTCCCTTACCCTCCTTCTCTCCCTTCTTCTTTTCCTCTTCATCTACTCTCTCTCTTCCATGCTCTCTCTTCCAATCCCAGCAAAATTTCCTAGTCTGGTTATGAGCTAAATCTTATTGAAGCATGAATAAGTGAACAGTTGACTGCACAAGCAGCGTGGTGTGACTGCAGCTTGTTAGGCCCACCCTGTTTCTGTCCCTGCCCTCTTCCCTCTGCGGGTGTCTGCACTGGCATGTTGGCTCTCACCTTGTGCTGCCGGGCTGTCATCTCAGTAGCTGAGCGTCCCAGGTAGGATGTGCACAGCAGCCAGCTCCAGGGAACCCCAGCTGTTGGCTCCACAGGGTATATTACCAATAGAAAAAGTCAGTAACAATTCCCCTTGAGTTTCCTTCACTACTCTGCAGCTATTAACAAGAAAACAGGAGCTGCCTCTGGGGTTTAACACACAGTATATTTGTACGTTTATGGATTTTCATCCCAAATCAGCTTCAGGGTCTGCAGGTCTGACAATCAGTGTCTCTGGTAATTTTTTTTCCCTGGTTTTCTCCAAACATTTGACAGGAAAGAAAGTGTAATTCTTTAAAGGATTTAAAGTATAAATATGTTTCATTGTTTCTATGGTTCAGTGTTTCCCATAACTACTTCTGTGGGAATATTCAATCTAATTTGTTAACTGATCCAAGGAAATACTGTTTAGGTAGTTGCATTCATTTGTGTTTGCAATTAACATCATTTTTTGTTCGTAATTTTGTTCATTCTCTTTGAACTATACTCTGTTCTTCTTTCTTCATTCAAATGCAATCAGTTCAAGAGTCAAGTTATAGGAACTTTCAGAACTATCATAGTAAAAAATTTGTCATGGCTTTACAAAATAAAAATATGTTACTCAGTTTCAAGTAGACCTTGTGAGTACAAAATAAAAAACTATAGTAAGATTTTCTACTGTGATATCTCTGTTAAAAAGTTCTTCTTTGTTTAATAGTTCCTAGTGAAGTTGCTTCTATTTAAAGCGTTGAGTTTGATCTTGGCTTTGATCTAAAACTTTTGATCTTGAAAGAAGGATGTTGTGGCAGTAAAACAAAAAGGGTAGAAAAGATTTTTTTCTTTTTTTTTCCAAGTGGTAAAGGATACTTTCAAGACTTAGTATGGACTTACCTTTACTTAAATCTGTTTGCAAATTCCATCTAATTCTGTATTTTTGAGGGTTTACTCAAATGCATGCTTTAATGAACCCTATTCTTCTACAAGAGCACAGATTTTTCTTCTGAAGCTTCAGGGAAGCTTCAGAATGAATTCAAGGAATTGCCATATATAGTATAAGAGTATAAAAAAACCCTAAAATACTGAAAATACCTTACTAGCATAATTTTAACTGTACCAAGTATGATACAGTCTATCTTTTATTGCCTTTTGTTTTTTAAATATAAACACAAAGTACTTTATAAAATTGTAACGTAAGGATTTATAGTATTCAGATTTTGCATGGCTGACATGGCTTGGGTCTCTCCCATCATGGTGGAGTTAGAATATCCTCTTCAGAGGCTGCAGATACACCTATTGAAGTCCCAAATTTAATCACATCCTCACAGCATCTTCTCGAGTAAATAAAGCATTTAGCTGAGGCCTAGGTAATGGGCTTTGTGTGCTACATGACTAAAAAGCTGCTTTGCATCTTGATTGAAGATGCATTTCAGACCCTCCAAGGGAGTTTAATAGTTGGATTTGGGAGGTGCAAGCAAGTACGGAGGCCAATCTTGGATCAGTTGTGATACTTGCTCTCTTGAACTAGCCCCGTTAGGCCATTCCTCTGTCCCACAGACCTGTGACAGCGGCTGTTTATAGGAAGGTTCATAGGAAAGCGGCTTTCATAGTAAGGTTCTCGAAGAGAGTGGGTATCTCTAATAATCAGGCTGCAAACCCGTGACAAGCGTGCCTGCCGAGCTTGGGAAGGGCCGGCCCGGCCCACGGAGGGAGCGCGGGGCGGCGGCAGCACCGCCCGGGCCGGGCCGGGCTCCGAACTGCGGGAACTCCGGGCCGGGCCGATCGCAGCCGAGCGGTGCCGCGGCCGGGCCGCCCCGAGCCCCGGCCCTGACGTGTGTGAGGCTCCTCCTCCCCGCGGGGCTCCGGGACCCCGCCGAGGTGTTTCATTTCCTACCGGGGCTGCGCGGTGCCGCTGCCGAGGCGGGAGCGGGGATGGCCCGGCCCGGCCCGGGATGGCCCCGCACGGCTCGGCCCAGCTCGGCACGGGGCGGGCGCGGCTCCGGGAGCCGCCGGGGCCGGGCGGGGGCTGTGCCGGCGGGCGGAGCGGGCTGCGCCGGCGGACCGGGCTCTGCCGGCGCTCTCCGTGGCCGCGGAGCGGGGACCCGAGCCCGCCTCAGCCTGCGCTTTCTCCCCCGTGTAGCCCCTGCTGGAGGAGGTCGAGACGTGGAAGGAGTGTCAGCTCGTCCGGGAAGTGCGCGGCGAGGTGAGGAGGGGACCTTTCGCGGCTGTTACATTGCACCTCGCTTCTTGCCCTTGCAGATCTGCTCCTAGAGTTTTCCACCTGACTCACCACCCCCAGCCTGCCACGCTTTTTCTTTAAAAAATAATTGCTTTCGTATTAAGTATAAAAATATTTGTAGGGGCAAAAAACCCCAAGTGTCATTGCTCTATGAAATAATAAGAACCCCACCAGCCAAATTTGACGTCGATAGTCTGGAACAACGTTCGAGTGAGTGGCTGGAAATAAATCTCTTACTTGAACTAGACGGTGTACGGGATAAAGCGCAGAGATTTTGCCCAGGATTTTTGCACACTGCAGTGATAATTTTCCATTTGACAACCTGGCCTGGCATCAAACACGTTCTTTGTGCAAAAAACCTTAAACTGAAAGCTCTGAGATGAAGAACACCACCTCGCACTTGGTCAGTGCACAAGTAACTAAACAGATTGCCTAAGACCATGCCACTCTGTATGGGAAAAGTGTTCTTCCCTATCCAGTGAAGCAATTAAAAAAATTGTCTTGAGTCTCTTATAGCTTTTTACCAATGCTGAATAGCTGCGCTCAGATTGTGTCTTCTTCCTAAAAAAGCACCATGGTTTTGAACTCCAGGTCACAAAATGGATTCAGACAAACCAGAGGGTCAGAAAAAGCAGCAAAAAGAAAAGAAAACAGGATGAAGTAATTTTCCAGAAGGTAAGCAATCACGATGTCTGTTTGGGTAATGGGACAAAGGGCAGCAGATCCGAAATGCTTTCCGATTACGCCTCCCTAAGCTCTATCGCGATGTTATTTACCGTCTTCGACAAGGTGATAGTAAAAAAGGGTGTTACAGATAAAGTTTCACAGTCACTCTGTAGTTACAATGGCAAGAATTTAACAATCTTTTCAGATTGTTAGTGTAGAAGACAAAATTTTCCTATAATTATGTTTAACTGGACCATTCTGAGGAAGAAAGAGAAGAGTGCTTTCATCAGAGAAATATAGCACTTGAGAGCTTTTAACAGGACCTGCACCACTATTTTTGGATACTGGTAGCTGAGAAACAGTTTTCATGGTGGATATTCGGACAATGATAGATGTGATGTGTATGTTGAAACAAATATTCAGACTATGCTTGTTGACTTCATTCAGAGTGTGAGTTTAAAAGTCATCTATTTGCAGTACAGATTTCAGTTAATGTCGATGTGTCTAGAAGGTTATTTTAAAAATTACTACAGAAGATTCTTAAACCTGAATGCAACTAAATTTGAACTATTTTTAATCAGCAATTTTGATTAAGCTATTATGAGAGACTTGTTCTTAACTTGCAATATAGAGAGGTAAATAATTAGCTGATATTTTAACTAAATAGCTGTCCTCTGAGGGAAAAATTTGAATAAAAAATAAATAAAGATGCACTTCCAAATGCATTATTAGAACTATGGGGGTTTTTACTTGTTTTGGTTTTGCAACAAATTTATGATTGTTTTTTAAAACTCTTGTTACTTCTGAAGGATTAAAATAGCAGTGTGTTGCTTTGCTGTTTTGACAGTGCTTCTAGAATGCATGATGAATCATTGCTGTTTCTGTAGCCAAATTCTTGCTGATAGCATGGCTGCCAACTCCTGGGATGTGTTGCCTTAGTACGGACATTGCAACTCTATGACAAATGTCCTCAAAGTGCCTTGTATAGGAGTGATTTACCAGCTCTATGGTTAGCTAAAAACCACCAAAAAGCATCCTTTTATTCACTACTTGCATTTTGTAACTGGAAAACATAACTTAGGAAAGATGTTCTATGTTGTTGTACTTTGGAATGATGTGATTTAAACAGAGATAGCATAAACTGTTTCACTAGGTAATTCCATTTTTGTTTGTATTTCTGTATGTGAATGTTTGTTTGCATGTATGTGTAGCTATAGTGGGCGAGCATTAGTCTGTTCAAAAGTATTCTTGCCAGGAGTTTGCCAGCAATGGAGAGCAGAGTAATACCACGGTAATTTGAACAGTCTGATTTAATTCCTTTCTTCTTATACAAAGTGATGATGACTGCATCACGAAGGTCTGATTTTTATGTTAAGAGGTCTATCATTTTATGTTAAGAGGAATAAGACTTTTTTAGGTTAAAAATTGTATCATCTTGGGAATTTGTGAGCAAAATGCATTGATAGGATAAATAACCCTAGTACAAACCATAGTCTACATACATTTTGAAGTAATTTTTAAACGGTACAAGGTAGATCCTGTGTTACACCTGAACAGTAGGTTTAGAAGTGCCTTATGCTGTTACACCAGTCCTAATCTCTTATTATAGGAGAAAGCTTCCTTAGTACTTCCTTAGTACTGATAAAATTCTATTTCTGTTGGGGGAGTTGTTCTCCTGGTGCTCTGTTTGTGAGAGAGAACTTCAGCACGTAGGCTTGCCATGTTAGAAATGCAAAACCTGGTGTGGAAACCTAAGATATACTCATTGTTTTTCAAACAGTAATTGTAGAACAAGGTCTGTGAATTTAATTGAAGGTGAGCATAACTGTTGTCTTTTAATATCCATAAGTATCCATATCCCGGGGATGCAGTGCAGCTTCCCAGCGCTGCATCGGCCGGGTACTTACCTGCATGGGAAGGAAGAGGTAGAACAATAACCTCACATGTGGGACTAAACCACTGACTAGTCACTGAGGTTGGAATTCTTTAAGTTGTGTAGAAGTTTGGCCATTGCAATGGTGGTTTTCCAATACAGTTACAGATGAGAGAATAGAAGAAGGGTGAGGGACCTCCTGGAAGTGCTTCATTGTACTGTTTAGTTTCAGAGTTGGTTGCAGCTGGGTTTTCAGTGAGTGCTTACCAGTCAGTGCCATTCCCAGTCAGTGTGGATGGTGCTAACCTCTGTTCCACCAGGATTCTTGGTTTTTAGCTGTGTCCGTATTAGTTTTTAGCAGAAATGATGGTATACAGCAGTTAAAGTATCTTTCAAGATAAAAAAAGAGAACAAGAAAGAGAAAAGCGTGTAATGGAAAAGTGAGGCACCCTTTCAGAAAGTAGAGAGGTAGGAATAAAAGCATGGAGTGAAAAGAGGGAGCTGAGAAAGTGAGCAATAATAAACAGAGAAGTCAGAGAGTTGGTACCAGCTCATATCACAACTGTGATTAATGTAAGGATACTGATTTGCTACATCTAGAAAACTGAGCTTGGCTTTAATCTTGTTTATCCTTTCCAAGCAAGCACAAACTTGTTAAATGTAGCTTCTAAACTTGCATGTGCCTGTGCTGTCCGATTTTCCTCTATCATTTCTTTTCTTTGTGATAGGAAGTCCTATTTCTAATACAAGATGGGTGACTTTACTATACTGAGACACCTCCAAATCAAAGCAACTGCTGCATCCAAGTACAAAATCTAGGACAGAGAGGTAACTCTGTAGTAAAAAGTGAAAGAGAATTGTGAAGGAAAGGTTGCTGACAACTGCCGGGGAATTGC